AGGCAACAGTATAACACAACAAGAGAAATACTGTGCCAAAATCTCTCTTTCACAGTGTCAGAAACATAGGGAGACCATGATGCCTAAGGATGGCTGCTAAGCATGGCACTGCTAGCTGTAAATTTGTCCTTTTTCAAATTTGATATCTACCTGTGGTATTTCACTCAGCTTCCCAGTGAATCATTTTTCAAGTTGTAGCCTGCATCTGCTCTTCCCTAAGACAGAAACCCACAGTTCTTCTCACTGGATTTCCAAACTAGAGCACTCCATCTTTGCTGCCCAGATTTACTTCCAGCAAACACAGATGGATTTGGTCAGTGTTACATAAGCAGTCACTTCCTAGAGTAGCCATCAAGTCTGGAGTGTTCATTACTAAACCAGGATTTTTAACATTAACCAAAGCTCCACAGAAGCCCCAGAAAGTCAAGTAGTAAAATAAGGCACTGCACTGACCTCTTCAATGATCATTCTTGCCTATTTTTGAGACTTTACCACGGGAAGGTGGGGTGGCAGTTAGCAGACCAGAAATCAAGTGAAACTTACATAGTCTTGATCCTACTCGTGGGACCTCTGAGATCAAGTTTTGACAGCTTGCATCCAAAACCAAACTGCAGCCTATAATGTAACACAAACTAAGAATTGCCAAGGATGCATGATCTTCAATAGTCAGGAAAGGAACTTTTTGGAGAAGAGGCTGTTATCCTAAAGGATAGGTAAATTTTTATGTAAATTTTAGGTAAATTAAAAGTTTGGTGATGACAGAGAAGCCAGAATGACAGAAAATTGCTACAGAGGAAAAGAAAATAAATCTGTAAATACAGAGTTGTATCTGCTTTGAATAAAATGAAAAGCACACACAAAAAAACCAAAAATGCAAGTAACTGAACACAAGCTGCTTTCCCTCAGGATGATCCCATTCAAATTGGACTATGCCAAAACTAATCACATCTGTGAAAATTAGTGTAAGCAAAGTTACTAAATACCACTACTTATTAAAGTTGTATCACAGCTTATGCATCAAAACTAATCAGATGTCTTAAAGAAAGCTCTATAAAGTTTGGTAGAATGGAACATGTCCAACAGAAAACAAGTAAAATTAGTATTTTATTAAAAATTTCTTCCTTAGTTTAGTTCAGATCTCGGTTCCATCAGACCACAAGTAAGGTGTTTTGCTGCCAAATGTGACATAAAAATCAAGCCTGACCATACCTTAACTTTGATTTTAAAAGGTAACCTAGAAAGTTAGTCTCCAATTTTTTTCCCCCATTTCTGGGATTTAGGTACTATGTTCTTTGGAAGAGCTTTGCTAACCAATGGTGTTTCTCACTTATTAAAGGTTTGGGGCCAAACGTCACTTTGAGTAATTACAAGTATTTGCTGAGCTCAAATTCTTTCTGCATCTTCACTTTTTCTGCTAAACAAGGTGTTTTTCTAGAGGAGAGTGGTCATTGTATTCAGCTCCATACCCAGCCTCAGTTTGTTTTGCAACTGAAATCCCAGTAGATAGCATATACACAACAGTAATATCACAGCCCAGACCCCACAGCCAGTATAAAGAATAACATGGACTTAATGGGAGTTATACCATAAAATGTATGCTGAAGATCTGACCCATAATGATGGCGCTTTTTTTTCCTCCAAAACATCAAAAAACAAGGTTTCTGGGAGTCAGTAACATTTGATTTCATTTAGTTTTGTTGTGCATGGTTGCAAGAGATCTATTAATGTTTCCCTCTGCTAGTTTTTGAGCGTAAAGCCAGCTTTACATCTGTAACAAAGACCCTCAAGGCAGAATATAGAAATGGACAAGTAGTTTTATAATTCCTACTATTAAGAACACCACCACGACCACCACTCCCACCCCCCCAAAAAAACCCAAACCAAACAAGCAAACCCCCACAATTCTGGTATAATTTTAGCAAAAGCACCCACTGCTAAAAACAGAGGCCATTTTGATTTTTTTCCCCTCAGCTTAAAGCTCTAAGAACTGCAACTAATGGCTCAGTACAATTTTTTCAGCTCTTTTTTTAAGTGCTTATTTTTATACCAAGTGATATTTACTGCAGTCTTAATACTTCACCCAAATTTAGCAAGAAGTTATAAATTAATCCCATAAAAACAAGTGCAGTATGCTTTTAATTTCCAGAAAATTCTCTTCTGTAGCTGTATTCCAAAATGATACTACAGCTTTTTACAAAACCACTCACATAAGGATTTAAAAGTACTGAAATTGACAGGAACTAAAGAAAGCCAAAGCATGTCAATTCTAAAAACTGTACCCAGTTGTTCAAGGGGTAATTAACCTTTTGTGTATTGTGTACAAAGATAACTTAATAGTCTTCTTTCTGAAAATACTGTTAAAAAGAAGCATCTCCTTACTAGGTCACACATCTGAACACAAATGCAATTATCAAAACATGACCTATTTCTGAAAAGCAAAAAGTAGAACACATTTTAAATGACATTACAGCATTAAACTCGGGATAGAAAAAGAACAAAGTGGGAGATTGGAAATATTGTTCCCCAGATATACCGCATTCTGCAGTGGCAAATAATAATTTGAAAATTGTTTCCCCTCTTTAACCATCAACACAACATTCGGGTTATTGCTGGGTAGGAAAAATACCATTATTGTTTTCAATATACAGATTCATTGCAGTAATCAAATGCAAATGCAATGTCCCACTAGTTCTACAAAAATGACATTCTGAAATGCCAGATCACTTCTTCAGAAGAAAAAAAGAAGAACTGAGACCTCTGACTTGCTACAAAATTAATGTTCACTCCTATTCATGACACCTTGTGCACCCAATCTAATCTAATCTCTCTTATAAAACCCACTTTTTTATATTCTTTACCAGCTCCAGATATAGGGAACCACATTTTAAATTGGTCTGAAAAGACTCTTCAGAAAAATGTTAGAACCCTCCTACAAATACATCTACTGTTGGCATAATGTGTTCAAAACCAGCGATGCCTCAAATATGGATATAGTGAGAAAATAAAAATAAAAATCTACTTATATAGTATGGATGTTCAAACATACATGATATGAAAATTGACCAATAACATTAGAAGTGATATCTCAGTATTTTTTCTCTAATCTTGTAAAAAAGCCTTTAAAAAAAATGAATTGGGAGACGGCCAAGTATCATGTTACCATTAAAGAACCTTCCAGTGACTGCTTTGTTTAGTGTTTTAAAGCAGAAATGGACTGAGAAGGGGGAGAAACAGGGGAAGACGGGGGAGAGGAGAGAGACACTCACCCAACCTAAGCAAATGTTTTGTTACAATATGGGGTAAGGCCTGTGTTCAAATTCTTTCTCTTTTCCAATCCGCAGCATGTCTAGTTGCTGTTACTACATCTCCTCCCAGACCTTCCTATCCAGGTAATTCAGTGACCTAGATTCTCAGATACTAATTTCAGTTACAGTTTCATGCTTCTTTCTTGAGAAAGAGACTAGAGATCAATGAATGAAAGCACTCATTCTGGTTTCCTAAACTTCAAATAATTCACTGTTAGCTTAATGACCTACTGTAAACCTTTTTGATAACACTGAAAATTCGCTTACATATTCAGTAGTTAAACACTCTCATAGGAACATTAATAAAGTTTAAGACAACCAAACATTTTTCTTAAAGTCTTTTCAACTCTGAAGCAAAACAAAGCATCAAATCACCGTGTATACTTTCCAGAAATTCAGTGCAGAATGCTGAATCCAAATACTTCTTTAGACTTTAGGAATTTTCTTACTTAAAAAAAACTTAAAATAATCAAATTTTTAAAAACTGTTTCCTAATAATAGGAAAATCTTAAAGCCAATTGCCCCTATTTAAATGTTAATAGCATCTCAGAAAGTATTTCCAGTAACTTCAGTCCAAGAAATGCTGAAAAATTATTACTTAGAGCTGAGGAAGCCCCCCAAAATCTTATGAAGTAAATAAATGGGACAACTTGTTGCCTCTTGCTCAGCATTCCAACAAAAGGACAAATGCCAGCATGAAATGAAATATAGCTGCAGGAAATTAATGATCTATTCACTTCTAGGTATTTTACTGATTTTATTTATTTAAAAAGCCTTGAGGATCTGCTTCACTTCAAAGATAAGACATTAATTCAAGGACACAACAATCTCCATGAAGTACCTAATCAAAGACTCATTCTTCAGTAGGCCATCATTTACCTGCAAAAACATACTGGTTTCCATTCATAACATTCTGCCAAACCAAGATCTGGCCCAATGTTATTAAGGAAATGCATCAAAAAACATTCTCTGAGAAATGATTTATTCCTCAGTTTTGTGCCAAAATTTCAAGTGACAAAATAGGTTGCATATATAAATCAAATGTGTAAAATTAATTGTTTCAAACTTGGTACACTTGACTTCTCTTTTTGACAAAACAGATCAGCAATGCCCTGTTGAAAAACAATTACATTAAAACTGATCAGCAGAGATGTAGAAACATCATGACTTGATGGGGAATTCATAATGTAAAATACACAGAGGAATTACTATCCTTAAAAACTGGTACCAGTCAATTAAAATCCAAAAGTATTAACAGGTTTTACTACACCAGAACAAGTGCATATTAAGTAAAATTTTAGAAGGCCTTAGTAGCTAACTTGCTATCAACAGCTGATGTTTAACATGTTTCTAAAATGTATTAAAGACTGTATTAATTATTAATTAATTATATACATGAATGCAATTGTAAAAATTAAATTCTGAAGTATTTAGATGTCACGGAACAAACCATCCTTAGAAAACAGCAGAGCAAATCACCTCGATTTCAGTTGAGTTTTAGCTTTTTCTAGAAAAAAGTCCAACTTGATTAGGATCATTTTAAAAGAAGTAATATATCATGATTTGTATTTGTCAATATAAATAGTTGCAGATATCCTACAACCTGTCAAAAATAACCATACACATTTATGTCATTCTGCTAACCCTTCTCAGGTCACAGTTAAAGCAATGTTGTTCAAGGGAGAGGTTACATACCCATTTCATTAATAGTTGCTCTTGCTTTTGAGACAAAAGAACTAACTTCACTTGAGTGCATTTTTGCTCTTTCTTTAAGGTCAGCACCTGTAAGTGACATTTCACATGCATGTTAGCAAGCTGTATACAGTACTGTAAATACGTTTCAAAAGTAAAATATTCCTGCATTCCAAAAAAACTTAAGTCTACTTTGAGACTACTATAAAGGACAGTTCAAATTGGTCACATTCATTTTCCACAGATTTCAAGGAAAACATGAACTGTTTATCAAGGAAAAACAAGAACAAAAACAAAACAAAAATCAGATTACCCACCACCAGATTTGCACCAAATATATTCTTCCCAGTGATGTTTCTTCTTATTATATTAAAATAGTTTATGAACAATAGGATTTTGCTGATTTTTCATTTGACATATATTTTCATTTTCTGAACTGTGTCACAAAGTCTGATAAACGTGTTTTTTCACACTGTGCTCTTGTTATTCTCTTATTGGCAGACCATAAAATACCTAGGGTGCATGTTTTTACATTAACAGACTACATTTATCTAAATAAAAAATTCTACAGTAGACCTAGTACCATTTTTCAACATATTTTACTTTTTTAATGTTACATACCATATTTTTTGTTCTTTCAAAAAATGCTAAAACTTGTATTTTTTAATCTATTTCTTCATTAATATATGAAAATAATTCTTTTAAAATGCACCCTGTAACTGGAGATGTTTACAAAAATGTGTTTTTAAAAATTCACCAATACGCAAACCCAACATTTTCTCTCGCGAATGTGTAAAGAAGAAGAGAAACAGGCAGTAATAATAATATCTAAATGCAGGGTAGGACAGGAAGTCCATCCTTCTCATAGAGGAAGAATACATGAAAAAGACAAAATCTGCATATACACATTTATTCTCCAAGGAAGCACAACATTCCCGCTGCAACTTTATTACATACTTTTTCCATTTGGTAAAAATGAACCTATTAAATTAGCCTCTTGGCATATGTCTGAAAAGGCTAAACAAGGCATATAACAAATGTAAAAAACAGCTTTACATTTCTATGCCCTGAGAATCAAAATACTGTCCATTCAGGAAAATGCATTGGACTCAGATTAAGTTAAGACTGTAACTCTGAATTTTAAATTAAGCAGTCATAGGCTCCCCCTTTTACATTTTTTGATTTAATTCATGCTAGACCCTCTTGAGCCTCCTAGTTTTAGATATACTTTTGTTGACAGCATTAGTTGAAATTCACAACTGTAGTCTAGCTCTGTGAAAGTCAGAGAGTATCTCAATCTGACATTTTCTGATAGACATCCAGCTGCTGGTTTAAGGTAACATGTCCAATAAAGCAGCTCTACATCTCCCCTTCTACCTCCACCACAGCAAAGCTCCTCATTTCACTAAGACTTTTGTTCTCCTTCTATGCATATCAATATAAAAAAAAAAAAAAACCAGTCCTGACTACATTTGCACGTTTCCTGCTAAATACTGTCAAGTTTAATTTACACTATCAGATACTTTGCCAAAAGCTTTCAAACAACCTTCTAGTGTATGTCCCAACTGAAGACAGTATGACAGGCCAGTTGAGCAGACAGTATAAAAGAGGAATTACTGTGGTCAGGTCTGCACTGCAGCAAAACTGCAATTGCTACCTTAGTAATTCACAATCAGCACATACAGAAATCCTGCCAGGAACCCAAAAAGCAAACAAAATTTGCATCCATAAACCTGGACAGAACTCTAAATCATATAAAACTGCAAGCAACTTCCACAAATGCATTTATGTATAGCATTCTGTAGGTAAACAGAGCTTTATAAAACTTGATGATAAAACCTGCTTTAGAAGCTGTATCAGCAAGCGTGCAAATGAAAAAATATCACTTCTGGGATAGCAGTTAATATCTTGGTCCAGCTTCGACAACTCTGTCCAAATCATTGCCTTATATAAGAACAAGAAACTGTGTGCTTTATGAACAAGAAAACCTTATGGCTGTGCAATCTGACTCAAAACTTCCACACACTGAAGTCTTGCTCACTGGGCATACCCTTGAAAATTATATAAAGAAAACTTCAAAAGAGAGGTACTGAACCTAAAAAATACCTCCAGTATTACTGTTAAGAATAATCTGTCAAGATAAGACTAAGGCAATTTTTAGGTTTTGATTTATCCAGACTCATTAAAAAAATGGACTCAACCCAAAAAAGCCCAACCCTTCTAAAAAAACCATATACAGACTACGAACTTCATCCTTCATTAAGCATATACATTTCTTTGAAGTTATGTACAGAAATCTATTAAATTTTCAACAAAAACTTTTGTAAGAACGGATTAAAATGTAGCTGCCAATTTAAAATTGATAATTTTGAGTACTGTAAAAAAAATTCTAGTTCAATAGCTGACCTTAGTGCCTTAACCAACTTCTGTAATCTTACATTTCCCTTTTTAAGTATTTCTCCCTCATAACTGTCAAGGAAATGGAAAAAGTTATTTTCCTAACACTTTCCTATTTTAGCCCTCCAAAGCATAATAATAGTAACTGAAAGCCTTTTCAGAGAGAAGACTTTTAGGCAGAAACCATTCACTGCACTCCAACAGAGCATGCGCCTTGGCATCCCCTGGTTCACAGGAGATGGAACTGCCACTGACTTAATACTTTTGTTTCTGTTATAAGATTCAACCACTGATCAAAGAATTCTTGAAGAATTCCTTGACCCATATAGAAGACAACTATTCACATGTTTCTTCGAAATCTGTTCTCAACTCAGAAGTAGGAAAGGTTAAGTTTCTGAAGACAGCCATGAAGGAGAGTGCACGTTCAACCAGAAATGACTTCTCTCTCTGCTACGGAAATCAAAGATCCCTCCTCTCACCCCAAGTTTACTACTTTGAAGTATCTGAAAATAGTGTTTGCTCAACTGCTGAGAGCAACAAAGTAGCTAAGCTTTTCAAACCACAAAAACTCTCACAGAACAAACCTCTGCAACTTTCCCATGGGCCAGTCGAAATCTGCGGACACGTTTGGCCCATGTGCTTCCCCACATCCACTCCCTACAGGCTCTCAGGGCTGTACTGTGGGTCCATGACTCTACACCACACTGAACACAGGGCTCTCTAAGCCCTTATCCCCAAAGATGTAAGAAAGGGGAACCTGAGCTATCAGTGAGCTGAGGCAAGCTAACTGTTGCAGATTTGATCGTACACTGTAATTATGTCCCCACATCCATCCGGTTTGTACTGAAGCATGAATCATTGTTTTCTCCATATTACGCTTCCTGGCGTCTCAACGCTTTGTCCCACTGATTGAATCTCATCCGCTCAGAAATGTAGCAAAAAGCTAGTCAAACCTAACCGCAATTCTAGCGGACACGCTCCCCAATTCTCACCTCTCTGCTGCCATCACTCTACAAACTCCCGTTTAAAGACCATGCAGTGCCATTTTCAAATTGACACCTGTTAGTACGGGACAAAAGAGAAGTGCAACAGTGAAAGACTACATTGACAGTGCAATCAGCCACTTCCCCCTACCGCTACATCAGGATTAAGACGGGTACTCTGCACTTGTGAAGAAACTCTTAACTCACAGCAGCATTGCTTCCAAATCAACAAAGCAAACCAGTAGTAGAGAACTTCCCTGCAGACTTCCAACCAACAGTCCTGGTTGCAAAACACCTGTACAAACAGCAGTCTTTTTGGAGGTCTGTTGAGCAGCGAGTACATAAACTAGTATTTGCAGATCAGCCCTTAAAACTACTGTAAGGAAGATGCACACTGTTTTAAATACGACCTACACTTCTACTGAGGTTTGTCAATCCAAAAGAAAATCTCTGTATGATTTTGATCCAACACTTTCTAATTTCGCACCTCCAATACCGGAATAACATAGAAAGGTCATTTATTTTTTACCTTGCTTCCCATAAGTATAAAAACCCCAATAAAATCAACTAACTCTGCATGGTTTTAAACATTTGGCTACTCAGTGGTTGGCTGTTGTACACTGTCAGTCTAGAATGTTTTTGCAGCACGTGCCCGACTTGCATTTCACAATTATGCCAGAAAAAATGTTTATTTGAGAAAGCCAAGGCAGTCCAGCAATATAGGTATATTACTGTTATTCACCAGAATTTTTCCACCTACACTTCTATATGACAAGGATGGCTATTTAACTTAGAGAACACACCAAAGGAAACCAGGTTTTATAGCAATTACTCTGACCCCATGCTTCTTGCCTTATTTGGATATTTTCACACACTTTCTAAACAGAATTTATATACTGTTGAAAAGCTAAGTGTTTGCTTGAAAAATCTGTTCCAACAACTTTGTGTAAGTCTCACTTTCTAAATACCATAAATGCCTAGAAATTTTCCTGTACAGTACTGTTCTATACTATGCTTTAACACATACTTCCAAAACACACCACAAAAACTGCAAACCAAAAAGGTATAAAATGCAATGTTTTATACATCATACTTAAAACTTTACTTTACACAATAAATACTTTTATTAAAAAATGAGTCTTTTAGAAATCTGTCACACCAAGATTAAACAGTGATGTTATTCTACCAAGTGTCAAAAGGCGCCCAAAGTGCCTTTTCTCTGAGAAAAGGGAAGGAAGTGACACAGGCACAGGCATTCGAGGTAGAACACAGTATTAAATTCTTACTGTAGCAATATTATTTTGAGCTTGCCCATCATGCTAAACACTGATCAACCAATTGCGTCAGTACACCAAAATTTCAATAAGGAAGTGACATCCAAGAGTATCAGAAGATACTCTTTTGCATACTCTGTCCAATTCCTCTATGTCATTGGCAAGAACGAGGAACACTGAAAACTGCAAAGCACAGAGGCACCACCTATAACGTGTTTAATAACCCAGCAAAACAGTTCAAGGAATTTATGAAGGAAACTTACAATGCTTTCAACTAGGAGTACAAAACATGCACTACCTCACCAATTAAAAGGTTAAGAACTGCTGTGTACCCAGAGCTTATTCCCACACTAAGTAATTAAGCAGGCTGTGAATTAATACTTTTCCTTCTCCACACAGAAGAACACACATTTAAAATACTGAACTAAAATACTGA